TGTAGAGATAGAGGACAATAAAAATATACATGTGACGGAGGCAGGAGATGGGCTGATTAGACAAGGAGCTTGAGACAGGGACCAATGTAGAAAAAATGATGAAGGAAAACAGGACAGAGTGAATGGACCCAGTGGAAGCTGGGATTGACCAGAGTTTCGGGCGAAGAGACAGGATAGTCTCATGGCTGTTCTGGAACACTGGACTCTGTCATGCTTTTTCTGTAAAGTTCATCCCTTTTCACAAGGGTCAATCACTCATCATGTGGAACTGCTGAATTCCCACAACACTAAGAAAATTCAGTGGGTACTTGGCTTTGAACATCTACAGTTCTCTTCAATGTGAAGAACTCTGACAAACTGAGTCCTAGAAGTCTGAAACTGAGCAATCAAAATTATATGTTTAAGTTTTCTGGCTTTAAAATGGGGATGATACCAACTCTGACTTACTTCAGTGTGTAATTGCAGATGAAAATAAATGAATTCTGTTATAACTAAGATAAATTAATTAGGAAACACTCAGATGCAATGGTAGTGACAAATGTGTGAGTGAATTAGCAGTTGTATCTTGAGATTACATATACTTACATGTTTTCCCTGACCTTATTTACATCCCTTCCCCTTGCATATCACATAGCCTTCTAGCAGCATATACCAGCATGATCTAAACTGATAGTTTCAAAATGTTATTTTTGACTGGGTGGGAAATAAATTGTAAATTTTGTACCTATTGTTTGCATCTAGTGACTAGTGTAGCTAAGACTAGAGAGTAATCTTACTTCAGCAGCTTTCTCATGCTTGCTTTCTTATCTTTCCCATACTTTACATCAAGGTTTGTTTTTTTCATCAGGGTATGTACTGAACTCAAGAAATGCTATTTAAGGCACTTGTGTATGGTAAAGACAGAACACTGCTTAGCATGGCAGCATAAGCTATCCATTCATACTTTCCCTGCCCAGTTTTTCCTCCTTCCTTGTGAACATCTTTCCATGTTAACCATAGTACCAACTCAGGAGTACCACTATCTCATAGTACTAATAAATGCTATAGTTCTTCCACATACAGAGTTGCAGTTGAGCATATGGTTCAGGAAGACAGATCAAAGCTAAGTCTCACGATTCTCTAACTTTCATTGCTCACAACTGTCACTCCAAAGAACTGGAAGGAATTGTAAAGAACACATTTTAAGTAGGGGAATAACTAAGTAAACACTAAAAAACATAGTCAAATGAGAAAATGCATTAAGCTGCTGACAGTGATACAAACCTGGGGAAAATTATGCAAGCATTAGGGAAAACCAAATTGTTTTCTCTTCCCTCCAATCTATGTCTGAGAAACTACAGCACTTTACTGGTTGTGTAATCAGAAGTATTTCATCAGTCTAATCGCATGAGAATTTTCTGTTCTAACTAGCAAACTCAAACATTCAGAAAAGAATTGAATAGGAATTCAAACATTTAGATGAAATTCCAGAAGTTCTGACTTTTGTCCATCCCTATCACCTAATGAATACACAAAAGGAAATGCTACATCAACAGACTTATGTATAGAGCCAGCCTGTATGGAATTTCTAGAGACTTCAACGCATGTTCCAAGCAGGATCAGCTCCTTCTGCAGCAGCTCTCCAGACAGCGTTTCTAATTCCTGATACAACTATACACAATTTGCAGTCAAATAAATATTTATAAAGAAAATATTTGTTCTTTATATCTTACTTGAGTTCTTGTGAGCTTGTGGCCAGCATGCTTCGAATGCTTTTGTCAGCCAAGGGACAGCCAGATAAACTGTAAGACATGGCAGGACATACAAGTAAGTTAATCTTCTCATTAATTGAATGCTCCCAAACAAACACAACATAAAAATTAAAAAGTAAAAGTTTGTAATGCAGAAAAGCGATGGGGCAAGTGCTGTAATATTGAATTTTGTAATATAGTTAACCCTCTGAATATATTTAGGTATCAACATTACTTCCAGAATTACATACTGTAAATGTTCTTTTTGTTTGTTTGTTTCTCTATGAGCTAGTAAAATGTAACAAAAAATATTTGAGATTCCTGGGTTAACTACTTAAATGGTTAAGAATACTTTGGAAATTTTAGTAATCTATTTAAAAATAAAAGACGTTTATACAACACACAAATTAGCATGCTTTTAAGATCAACATATATTACTCAAAGGGTTAACACATAGTTCAACGTTTTACTTTGACAGCATTGTTGAGGTAAGCTGAAAACAATAAATTGAAAAGACAGAATCCACCATGAAAAAAATGAAGTCACACCTTCTATGTGAGGCGTAATTACCAGTCACATGACCACTCCCATCACACCCTGGTGTTGGACATCTGCCACCAAACAAAAACAAAAACAGCCAAAATAGTAAGTATGTTTAAAAAAAAAACTTTTAAAAGTTTCATTGTTTCCAGTTTAGCTGCAATGACTGCAAGGGGTTTTAAGCATCCTAATCGAAAAGCTGCAAAATGAACAGGTTTAAATGAAAATGGCGTCTCAATACAATATAGCATCATTAAGAACAAGCAAATACACGTTAGCTTATCACTTTACTTAACTGGCAGTTTGAAACATTTATATGCTGCAAATGTTGCATGCTCATACTGCAAGGCGTATATGTACTCGTTTGTTTAAAAAAAGACAAAGAGAGAAAAGGTTAAAAGGAGAAAAATAATTTCACCTCACATTATGCTTACGTTATTAAATCCTTTTTGCTCTCTTTGCATTGAGGGTATTTGGGTTTAGGACTTGGGATTGTAACTTCACCAGGATACCTTCTTTCTTCAAGCGCCTCTTGGAAAGGATCCAAATCTTCTGGCTACAGGCAAATACGTACGCGTTAGTTTCAGCTAGGTGAGGTTACAACTTAGACAAAATAATGCAAAGCAGAGACATCAGATGTTATCTCCTTCTTTATCCTATTCTGCCAGAGAAAATGAATGAAATTATTTTATATTCTTTCACCTATTAAATCTTTAAATAATATTTGGATATTTTGATGAAGACCTCACAATATGTGGAATACATAGTTTATTTAACTAGAAATGCAAAAAATAAGGCAAAACACAGCTTTTTCTATAGTTGTCATATTATTTTGCTTTACAAGAACCAGTATTTCTTCCTAAAGCCACTGCAAAATAGAGGAAAGGGAAAAAAGATGACTAAATACAGTATTTTATGCATCAAAAAGCCATCTTAAATAACATTTTTAATGATTTGGAACATCTCAAAGATGAAACAGGAGCAATCTTAACATCTACCCGCAGAATCTCAATCTGGGGCAAACCTCCATGGATCTGTCTTGGCAAAACAGAATTATATCATATGTAATTAACTTTACTGATGCATTCAGAAATTCAAAATCGTCTATTTCAGGAGTGAAGCGGCTGAATGCATTGATTTAGCGATTCCTGCAGATGGTGCTACGAACACCACAGCAGAAACAGGGAGTTCTGCTGGCTCGGAAAATACCACGCTATGCTGTCTGTTTTACCTCACATTTCCTTGGTAGTGACAGATTTCTCCCTAACTTCAGTGAAATTAATAGCAAAACTGTAATTAACACCAAAGCTAGAATGCGTTCAGTGTATCTAGTGAAAATGCCACTTTGTTGTATGTTTCAAAGTTACTGAAAATAGTTTTACGTTTTAATTAAAATGAGCAAGAGATGTGCTGCACACATATGATTAGCCTAATTTTCTGTTAGAAACCAAGAGAAAACAGAGAACAATCTCTAGAAGTCACCAAACAGCTAAATTGCATTGAGTGCAAGATTGTAAACTGCACAGTGGATAAGGGTCAAAACCTGATGAACAAAAGCAGTGGCATTGAACCTTGGCAGCAGACCTCTTCAGTGTCCTGGCTATTCTAAGTTTTGAAAAGTAAAAGAAATTCATTAACACAGTTTCTTTATTTGCCTCTTCAGTTTAAAGGGTCTTGCTGTTGTCTTGGCATTATGAATTGAAAAGTAACACTGATTTCTAATATCCCTTCATTGTGTTCTTGAAAGAAAGTATTTCATTAATACAGGTCCTTTCACACACAGAGCTATCAGGCGTGTTTAAGTAATCTAGAAGATTAGCTGAAATAGTTGAAAGCTTATATTATACTCTGCTGCTTTTGTTTAAATTGATTTCTAAGCAATACATGCTTTCAAATACTCAGCACATCATTCATGGTTTTCAAATTCAGGAGAATATCTTGTCTTGAGAGCTGATTATCCCAGTATTGCACAGTTATGTCAACTTGCTTATACAGAGTAACATAATCTGGATATAGTAAAGCAACTTTACTGCAGAAAATATTTGTTAACAAGATGATGCTGTTAGAAAACATGATTCACATTCACGGTTCAAATGTTGTCTTATGGAACTTAGTCACAGATCAAATGTGTGCCAGCATGATATAGTCCTAAAGATTAACCAGTAGAAAGTCCTTTTCGTAGGAAACCACCATTTTTATAATGTATTAATTTTGTTTCCTTTTTCCCTCCAAATTTCAGAAATTTAATGAATTACCAAAATTAGATTGCAACAAGAACTAATAGATGAAAAAGACATACATTAATCTCTTTGGAATCATCTTCATCTATCCTACTGGGCTTCATTTTAGTGTAGTCCACTGGCAAGTCCCAGCAGTCACCCTCGTTCAGTTGGTAACACCGGTTATTCATCACGGCTTGCCGTTGTGGGGACATTGGCTCCAGTGGTGTCAAAATGGTACAGCAACCATCTCGCTGCCTCTGCTTGTTCATGCTCAGATCCAATGTCCCATTTTCATCGACTTCCATATCAGGATTCTGTCAAAATAAGAAAAAAAATTGTTAATTTGGCTTCACACTAGCAAACTGTTACCTTGTCTTCAATCTGATTGCCTAGCAGAATGATAAAACGTTTTTCCATTCCTGTATAGATTGTAAGCATTGAGCCCCCTCCCACACATAGCATGATGCTGTTACACAACATTAATGCTGTTAAAGTAAATTTCTTCCTGAACGGCTAATCTGATGTTTGGGGGGGAAAGGGGAGAGTCTTCATTACCCCTCCTGCCACCTGACACACAGGTACAAAATTTGGAATAAAAAGGCCAAATTTCTAAAGGAATTTTCTTGTTGTTGTCTTTTTGTTCTTGATTTATTCTGTGACAAGTGAGTATCTAAGAGTTAACATCTGCATAATTCTTGTTTCCAGTCCTGACACCTGTCTGGGTGATTAGAGTAACAAAAACCAGCTAGCATCAAATAATGTTTGTTTCTTTGTTTATTTAACATTAACAGTCAATGCTTGAACAGGTAGTGGCAGAAAATTAAACAGAGAGGTAGGGTACCAAAACAAGTCCTTTTGGACACCATTTGCCAATGAGGAAATACATTCAAATTTCACAGTTCCTTCTCTGCAGATGTAAATGTATGAACATTTCATATATCTGTCTTTATAATCAATAAAATTAGGTAGCGGAATAGCGCAACAATAGTTGTGCCCATTTCTGTGGTGACTGAGGTGCTGTGAAACATAGGGTGAGTATGGGCTCTGACTTTTTCTTTTATAGAACCAAACAAGGGTTGTCTATTATATCAGACGAGGAGAAAAAAGATATCTTAAAATGAAGACAAATTTTAAAAAACTAAGGATAGATAAAATAAAAATGCCCACAGAGAATCCTTCATCTTTTCAAAAACGAAACGCTCCACGAGAAATTTAGTTTCAGAACTAACGTGAATGTGACTGACTCCTTGTATGTCTGGCGACTTTCTCTCCTCTTGAGTAACAACAGAGCTGCAGGAAAGCACTCTGAATGCAAATCTCTCTTTCTGAATTACTGCCCTTTGTCAGAGCATATATCTAATTGCTGCTATCTTGCTAATTTAATTTAGAAAACACTTGTTTATCTTCTCAGATTCATTCTTTCAGTCTCAATATAGGGTGACACGTTAGGAAAGAGGCCTCTTCTGGTTTTGACACAGAAGATTTTTAGCATTTTATTCCAACTTTTTCCATCATGTTGATATAGAGAACAACTGCATTTATTTACATGCCAGAAAGAGACTTGCCTCTTGAACAGTATTAAATAAATTGATAGAAAAAGCAGCATTTGAAAACAAAGTCACCAGCCATTTCAGCTTAAATCATGATTATTACTGATACGTACTGCTATGCGTTTAGTTTGTTATGAATGATCAAGGGGCTTTACACAATGAGGGGAAGAAAACCTTTGTCTCGATGTAGAAGAACAGAACATGTCTGCCAGCCCTTCTATAAGCACAATAAAAATGTTTCCTCTGCACTGCATCTGTCTCCTCAGCCATCTAGTGGCCTCCTCCAGGTACCACCGTACTGCTTCCTGGGGCACCTTACTCATTTCTTAACAGCCATCAGAGTCGAAACTTAAAGTTTATAATGCAAAAAAAAAAAAAAAAATCCTCTGGTAAATCTTTAATGAATGTTAATAGTGCACTGTTTTTCTTGATATATAAAGCTTAACAACAAAAGCTTTTATTTATATCTGTATAGCCATTTCATAATATACTATATCAACATACAGAATATTAGTGACCCTGCACTACTGTTAAGCACATTTAAAGTCGCCTGTCCTGGAGGATTTGTTCATTTCAAATGTATTATACAGTGGCTTAAGAACTGTGATAACACAGATAGGCAAGAAATTATAACATACAAGTAGCATAGATTTCTTTCTATTAGATCTTACAACCTTAAGTCCCATTTGTGACTTTTAAATGAAAATACATCATAAAATCTTAATCCTTTCACAAAAATGTATGAATCGGACTGTGTTGAGCAAAAAAATTAGTAGCGCAATTAATACCGCTTGAGCAATCCAAACATCTTTTATAATTATAGATCTCACTAGTAAGAGACAAATTAAAAAAGGAGTACATGCTATCAGTATCATCAGTTTATATACCGATCGGGATTTCCCGAGATATTTGTGAGCAATTTGCATCTTTCTTTTTTTTTTCCCCCACCCTCTCCGCTTTAGCAGAGCCACCACATTATGTTAATTTTGAGGAAAAGGAAAAAAAAAAAAAAAAAAGCAAGATGTACTAAAGCTATTCTGCTATCTATCAGGGCCACAGAACAAGTGCAGTAAAGAGAAATCTTCATCAACAAACAGAATTACTAATCTTTACCCTCGCACAGAGATCCTGAGGCTTAGTGGAGAGGTTCTGAGGCATCTCCCTGCAGCGAGTGGAGAGATTCAGAATAGCAGTAGCAGCCATGTGCGCTGCCTCCATGTCATGAGTATAGTCAAAGCTGCTCTTGCTGCAGGTACTGCTGGCACTGCTGCCTCCACCACAACTCATATTGCTGCTGCTGCTAGGGGCATAACTGCTTGTTGTGCTGCTGGTTGGACTTGAATTCTTACAGTAGCGTTTAGCTGTGGGAAGAAATATGACAAGGATGACTCAAAGGAACGAGCATTCTGCATAAGTGAAGAGAAAAAACAAACTGCTGGAGGTGAAATTTATAATGAGCAACAGTAATCAATGCCAAAAAAAAATGCCTGCAATAAGAATGATGGCCGTATTTCTTGATTTCTGTCTGTGACTTTTATATGCTACATATGTGAGTTTGTATGAAATAAACCTCCTGTAAAAATCTGCATGATGTGATCATGAATCGTTTTGACAAACAGGCTGGATCTAGAAAACAATAAAAACACAGAAACACTGCTTTTACCCCACATATATAGTCAGACAGAAGGTAGGATCTGCTCGGCTCATTCACTTTTATTAACGAGGGGCAACGTGACACTACGGGACCTTTTGCTATTTACATGAGCAAACTGTTAATTTAAGGCCTAGATTCCCCAGAGCCGCTGGAGATCAAGCCCACCGTAAGGCTGACGGGCTTGGTCTCCGGGCCACAGCGCTGCCCGTATGTCCTCAAACACCCCATGCTTCCTAACAGGTTTCTTCTTCCTACATCACAGGCGACTATTACGACACTGGCCATCAGAAAGGAGAGGACCACGATGGAAGAAGAAAGGTGGTGCTCACATGTGAGTTTTACCATGGCTTGCACAAAGGCAGAAGCAGTGGCTGTATAAATGGAAACAGATATAAGTGAAACGTCCCCATCCTCAAACAACCTGAGCACCTACAACCCTTCATAAAACCAGTAAGGACCAAAGACACCCCTTCCTGCTCACACAGAAGCCGCCAGCGGTTACAGAAGAGCTAAGGCACCGACAAAGCTCCCGTCCAGCCTATCTAAATACAGCGCGGCACTCCTGCCGCTTTTGAGAAACGCTCCTTGCAGCCAAAGGTATTACAGTAATAACGGAAAACAGCCCTATTAGCCCGCTTATTTCTCCAACCCTCTTCCCAAATAAACTGTTTTAAAAATGTTTATACAAAATGCAAGAAAGTGTGAGCTCGTCTCCTGAATCTAAAAGTTTATGTATTTTCACAAAAAAAAGAAAAGCCAAGGTCAGAGGATACATACATACATGCATATTACAGCGACTACTTCCCCTTAAGATAGAAATGTATACTGCAGAGATCATACCTTATAGCACAGTATAACAATAACCAACTAGCATGCTGATTAGAGAGCCGTACAAAAAAGGTCAGGCCCTAGCTAGAGCTCTTCCATGATGGGCTCCATTTAAATGCCAGACTCTTCAGGTGCATTTGTCTGAGCAGACACACACATAATAATCTGCTCCCATGAGCACAGCCCATTCGTGGACCGCAAGCTGCCTTGGTAGGCAGGCAGGGTTCAAAAGAAGAATCGGAAAGCAAAGTATGTCTGCTAGAGCTTATGTCATCTGCTTTTCTCTAAAAAACTGAAAAAAATCATGGCGTTATTTTTACTGGAAAGGAAATAGTGTTTCACTTAATTCATAACAGATGGAGTTTTCTCAGGAAAGCCACATAATGCACAGGGCGTGATTTTTTTTAAGTGAAGTGAATGCTAAACATTCACCACATTTCTTTGTTTTGAACACATAGTAGCACTACTCTAGCAGGTTATCCACTAATAATAAATCTGTGAACTATTTCTCAAGTGTTTCATTATTAATATAGTAGTCAGTGGTGGTCATTAAAAATTCAGCATTTATCCATTGTTACTTTGAAACAGTATCCAAGACACACAACAATTTTCCTGTACTTAAGGAAGGAAATAATTGCATAATTCCATTTCTACTGTGTTAACACAGCAAGCACCCTGTACTACTGAATTTGTCAAATTTGAAATATCTTTCAAAATTCATATGAACAAATAAGACTTCTGTCACTTGCAAAAAATGTTAGTCTTGTTATAGCAGGTCACATTTAGACAGACATGAGAGACATACTACATGGGAAATTATATATATATATATGAGAATGTGTGCTAAAGAAACGGAGGGAAATTTTTTACATAGGACTAACCATCAGAAACTCATGCAGGCTCTGATATGGACTCCTCTGTGGCCTTGGTCAAACTATATTATCCCTCCAATTCATTTTCCCTATAAATAGAAAGTTGCTTCTAAAATTTAGTTGTGTTGTGATTCACTTGCAAAACACTTCGAAGAAGTAAAGTGCTATAAACATGCTACGCAATTATTAGCTTTTAGATTACCAATAATTTAAGCAAAACATACTTCAAGAGAAATGGCCATGGTTCTTTTAACTTTACTGCAGCTCTACATTTTATGATGAGTCACATAACCGAGACTGTTCATTTCACATCAGCTTTTCAGGAGAAACAAAGGTTATCAATTTATAATGACCTAAATCAAGTTGATCTCTAATGAAGGGAAAGCTGCACTGCTTCAATACCAGATAATTCTGCTTGATATATCACCCAACCCTGTGGCACCAGGTTTTGGAAGCTCTGCAGTCCACCTACACTTCATGATCCAGAGTGAAAACAAATGTGGAGAACACCTTTCCCGTTAAATAACAGACACAAGTCTAACCAGCTGCATACCCAAACTGGCCTCCCATCAGACATGCCTAGGGGCTGATTAAAAGAACCTCTCAAAGTCTACCTCTCAAAGTGTTGTTAATTAATTGTTAATTAACAAGTTAATTGATAAGTTGTTAATTAATCCTTGCTAATTAACAACGGAGGAGTGGGACAGATCCCAACAACCTAAAGTACCAAAGGAAGATATTTGGAGTGGAATTAAATTCTGCCCAGACACCTTCATCCCCAGGATTGCCTAAATACTGAATGTGTTATGTAAATTAATTACAGTTTCAACACTTTTTCTGACTTGCACAATAAGAAATTCATCTTATCTAACTTCAGATATCTGACCTCATCATTATAGGCTTCCTATACAGGCACTGGGAAAAAATAGGAACTTTCAGGCAATGATTCACCTGACCAGTTTTAAATAAGTACTTCAGGAGGAGATGAATCGAATCAGAGAAGCATCTATCTTTCTCCTTGGCTCTGAAAGGGGTGACGAGTTCAGATCTAGGTGCTGATATTATAAATGTCTACATATGGTCAGATGAATCCCACTCCTAACATGTTCTCAGTGTTTTGACGGAAGGACCCAGGACTATTGGTGGAATAAGAGGAGCTCCTGCCATCACCTGAGCAACTGAAAGAGTTGCTGTCTCCTCTGCCTGCTGTGTCCAGCTGTTCTTATCTCTACTGCTATATACCATAAGCCCAACATCCAATACACTCTGAAACTGGTTTCAAAGGAAAAACAAGCCCACAAACACAAGATTTCTCAAGAATTACCAGAGCATCCTACCCCTCAATACGAAGTATCATTTTTCTGTTTGTTTTTTACTAAAGCTTACCGGAAAAAAAAAATCGAGAAAACAATCCAAAGGAGCTATTTATGTTCATGTCACTCACAACCATACACTTATTGAATATATAATCACTTTCTCTCATGATGAAAACACAGTGCTAGCTTACAATTAAAAAAGGATTGAGACATGAAATTATTGATTTTTCATATCCCTAGACTACTTGTCTCACCTTATATAGCCAGAAACACTAAAACGCTGTTTACTTGCAACTTCCCCCAAAACCTTAGGCTTACTTTCAGGTTTTTCAGGACGACTTTTCAGAATTAAATCTGCTTTTATATAAACGTGTTTTGCTGACACACATAACAGGTGTGCACTCTGTACCTCCATAATGGCTTTAGGGGCAATAATTAATAATTTTTTCTACACACAAATATGAAATCACCTAAAAATACTGCAAAGTTTCCTGAAGGAAAAGTGGCTCTTTTAATTGAAGAGCCTCTTCCTGAAATCTCCTTCATATTCTGTTATTTACAATAACTGTCAGCAAAATCCTTGCTCCGTTGAAAGTTAGTACCAAAACGTTGACCGATTTCAGTGTGCTCAGGATTCCACTTCATCGCTCTATAAATTTAGCTGATTCTCCTGAGGAACTTCGAAACCCTTTGCCAATTTAAGCCCAATATGATGGAGTGCTTTTGGAATATCAGAGAGATGTGAATCCTAAAGGTTTCATGAAAATCACTGATGGGGTACAAAGAAAAACTCAAATTAGGTCCCATCTCTGGGACCATGTTGGCACATCTGTCTGGCCAAACAGCACACACATCGCTTGGAACCAGGTACAGTGTGTGCCACCTCCTGCAGAGCCAGGGGTATGGAACAAATCCATAGGGAATTAGCCTTCCTTTGGCAAACAATCTGCTCCAGCTATAATGGGCTTCAGGTGTTCTCAGTACACAAGAACCACGTATATTTGCTGTACTGGCATGAATCACATGTACACAATGTCCCTCAGTCCTCTCTGGCTCACGTTACTGAGCAGTGAAGCAACCTAGTCCCAGTCTTATCTCCCAGTAAAATTCCTATTTATATCAAAGGAAGATGAATGTGCATAAACACAGTGACCTATATCACCCTAGCCTTTCATTATTTAAGGCCACTGTTAAACTCGTGTTTAATGTTACATGTATTTTCAAATTCTGGTGATTTGGGAAAAAACCGTGGAGTTTGTAATTATTTGCTGAAAAGGGGTCTGAAATGAGAAAAATATGTATCAGTTGCGTAAGCATCAGCAATTTGATCTGAAAATACGCATGTCCACAGGATCCCCAGCAATACTCTGATTCTTTCCTTTCTGCAAGAGTAGACAGAGCATTTAGACAACAGTTAATATCTCATTTACCTTATATTAATGTACACTCATTAGCTTACTAACCACAGTTAGAGCTTTATCTTTAATAACGTTCAAGCCCTTATTCTGATACGGGCAAACAAGATGAGTGTATGACAGAATAAAAAAGGGCGTTTTTACTCAAAAGTATGTTGCCTTTCACAACCCTTCTCCTTTCTGCTATAGTGCAAGAACATGCCTGTTGATTCTATGAGAAAGCAAAATATCCAGAGTATCAGAAATATGAAGGCAAAAGCTCTAGCAATTTTCCCTTTCTCCACTTACCTACTTCTGAATGTCAGAGTCTGTGTTCAGGCAACAGCACAAATTTTTCTATATTGTATATTTGTTTCTGTTTTCCTAAACAAAAATCTGACACCTGCCTGAGATTTCCTATGGTAGTCAGTGAGTAGTATCAAATATTTTAACCAAAAAACCCAACTGTTAATGTTCAAAAAAAGAAAAAAAAGAAAAGATAAAGGCATGATTTGGGGGTTTTATATATATATATATATACACACACATATACATAATATATATATACACATATAGTTGTATTGCTCTGAAAAATTCCTGATGTCCTCAAAAGCTACAATCCAAATCCTCATTCTTTATCTTGCAGTTCATTTTTCTCCACTAATAAAAATCCTCTTGCCTGACAGACCCCATCCATTGTCTTCTCCTGAACTGAAGCAGCTTTCAGCCTACTCCCAAACATGTTTCTTCTGTTAGGTTTTCCAGAGAATCCAGCAGGTGTATTCATGAGGACAAAACGAGCAGAAATGCCTCATTAAGTAAGTAGCAGTGATTTCTCAAGTGCAATGAGATCCAGGTTTTCGACTTCCATATCCCCACAGTGCAAGTATGTTATCTTTATGGGTTACCTGAACTACTGTATTGAAAGGAGAATCCTAATGTGACCCTTGAGGCCAGGTCTCCCGGATAGCAACATAAGGACTAGCTCTATTACTTAGCTTTTATTGCAATCTCAACACATCCCAGGAGCTTAATAGCTGGAGATGTTCTTTTGCCAGTGCAACAATCCTGAAGCAAGTACCGTATAAAACAACGCTTTTTAAAAAGGCCTTTAAAATAACTTACACATGACAGCATTCCTCATAATACTATATGAACATGAAAACATGTCTTATTTGTATGATGTTTACATATACAACAACATGATTAACTGCAAACTTGTCTCTCATGTATAAGAGTGTGCACCTCCTACCATCATATCCTTTGGGGGATATATCCCTGGATTGCACCTTGGGAGCTATGGCTCTCTTGCCATAGGCATGGTTGTCATAACTGTTATATTCAAACGTAGTCTTAGAGTATTTCTCTAGTTCCTTGGCCAAGTTGGAGCGGGGTGTGGTGGTGGGGACATTGTTTCTGTAGCCATACTGAGGGATCTCCAATTGCTTAACAAAGCACATGGGCCTAGAAATTAAAGATATGTAAAGTTTGTTAGATGCAGTTCAGTTTACTGTGTCTGTGCATAATTTATAGTTCAGATTAGAAAATCTTAGTTATTTCTTGTACTCAAGAGACAGCAATATATTATTGCATTTGCTTAGTTTGGTTATTTTCAGCAGACAAACAATATATATTTTCTTGAACAAAGCCTAGACAAAATTAATTCTAATACCACTAAATGTATCCTGTAGCTAAAAGTATTTTAAAATTCTGTTTTAAAATACTTCAGGGTTTCCCTTTCCCCATGTAATTGCATCACATAGCAAACATTTTCTCTTTTGGGAGGTGAATTGAAGAGGGGCAAGCAGACTGACAGAAGAAGTTTGGACAAATTCCTTTAAATGTCAAAAAGAAAAAAATAGCACTGGAAGCTCCACTTAATTAATGGAGTTTCCTCTGAATTTCTTTCAATGGAATTGTATGCTGTTTTCCTGTACGCTTTCCAAAGGAGCTAGTCCTGTTTCATCCCTCAATATACAAATCCATGTTCATCTGAAGAAATACACAGGAGAGTCTCACAATCTCTGTTGACTTTGAGCTGTTGCCTCGCAGGTCCTGCTCACCCTTAAAGGCAAGGTTCTGGCAGGAGCTGCGATGGCTGACAGACAGATACACACCTCAAGGAAGGTCCTGTGAATGAATACAGAATAGAACTGTATCAGCTAAATTTCTCTTTCATTTAGGATCAGCGAAGATAGTCAGGAAAAGCCCTGACTGATCTCATTCGGCCATTGGAGAAACTTGTGAAATCTCAGTGAAAGAATGATGTCGTGAACTCCATTGTCGACCTGCCTTCTGCAGGCGGACACAGAAGTCATCAGCTCTCAAAGCAGGTAAATGAAGGTCAGATCCTGCAAACCTTACCTATATAAGAAAGTGTTGTATCACTGGGTCATAGGGAGCAACTGCTACACAGTGCTGCATGGCTACCTACTGTGTGTAGCAGGAGGTAAAGATGATGAACAGCACACCTGAGGTGCTTCTGCGGGAATCAAGAATCATATAATCAAGTCTTTTTTCCTTTTCCTTTTTTTTTTTTCCTTTACTGCACTTATAACCAGAGGAAATGGAAGGGACATTCATAGGAACATAAATTCAGTCAAGACCAGAAGTATCATCACGCTGACTGACAAAATGGAATGTGATAAATAGTAAGAAGTAAGTTTTGAATATTATATTATGTTTTTCTGAATGAATTCATTTTCATAGAATTTAGTCAGGATATTTATGTAAAGATCACCCAAGAAATCATATTAGTCATACTATTCCCTTTGATTTATGTATGCTTGTTCCTTTAGACACTTCTTCCTCACAAAATACAGTGGGCTTATTTATACAATGAGCTGAACTGAATAATATTTTGATCCTGTCTCAAGATAGTCTATAATTAGCTAAAAAAAAAAGCAATTCAGATCCTGTACATTTCATGCAAATCCAAAATTTCTGTGGAACAGAAGTCCTACAAATTTGATATCTTTTTAAGTAAGAAATTTTAAGGGCAGGTGGGATGGAAACTGGGATGAAGACAAATATTCAAGATTTACTCTTAGAACATCTGTATCTGCCCATCAGTTGCCTGCATACATATACTATAAATAGCTCCCAAGTTCTTCATCTTAAATACCTCAATGACTTAAAGGTAAGAGAAAAGCAGGAGACAAGATGAAAGCATTATTTGAGTTGCCTATAAAATCTGAAACACAGAGCAGGCTCACAAGCAAAGTTAAGATTGCAGCACAACTTCCTAGGGAGTTTGCCCGCGAACCGGATGCTGCTTTTGAGCAGTTGCCTTCTTTGTACAGCATCTGACTTCAGTGGCTTCCCTCTAATGAGCAGTGGTAAAAGCCACTGCATTTTTGATCTGTCTTTTTCCATCAAGTGAGAAATTGTGTTATTCCCTCAAAGAGTGTTTTTTTCATAATAGGATTTGAAGAACTTTTCTCAAAGAAAACTGTCTGGGATGCTGTATGAAAAATTGTACAATTCCAATTAGGGGCAGTAAAGATAAAGCCCATCAAAAACAATCTGAGGAAGGAAAACAAAGTCAACATGCATGACAAAAAATCTTCTGGAGGTGTGAACCATAATTCTATGTTCTTAGCTCTATGGGAAGACTGTTTTTTGAAAAGACCATCAAGATTAATGAAGTTTTAGGAGAATATTCAAAGAATGATGTTGATAATACAGCAGAAAACTTTCATTTTAAGCAGCCCTATCAGATTTTAAATCTAGAAGACAGCTGAATATTAAGAAACCTATGGGATAAGTAGGAAATTCTGGGAACTAAAGCTGCAGCACTTCCTCCACGCTCTTGGAGGCAGCTAGGAGGGATGTACCTATCCCAGCCCACAGATCTCACAGTATCCATGGAGAAATTCTGCAGCTCTTGGGGCATCATCAGCATAAGGCTGGTACAGTCATGCAGAAGTCTAGTTCCTTTACATGTATCCTTCACACTTCAGCTCCTTAGAAACAATATTTTCTCCACCCACATATCTCAAAAGAGGAGACAATAGCACAAAGCTGGATACAGCTTTGGATAAATGCAGGATCCTATATGGATGAAGATAAGGGGTATGATTATGTCAAATTGGTTCAAGGTCCTTCTCATATGAAAATTTAGGACAATTCTTCTCTCTTTCTGTCCTTCCTGCCACTTAGTAGGGGAACAGAGGTAAAGAACTAAGCCTGATCTTATTTTGGAATCTAAGCTATACCTCACATTTTCCCAAGTGTCCTGTCAAAAGATGTACTACCAGTTTGGTAATGCAAATAGGGCTTCTGGTTTAATTTAAACTGATATTTACTAGTAAAAGCCTGCTGAAAAAACCAAGACTTACCGGTAAATATTAGTTTATTCCCAAAAGATACCAACTTTTTTCACATTGTTCTTAGACTTTGCACTCCAGCAGTCATCTTTACACCAAACAATGCCTAAGACAAAAATGAGCTTTTCAGCTTTACATGTATTTGCCAAAATAATTACCAACCCTCCCCCATGTAAATTGAGTGGGAAATATACACTGTGAGAATTGGATCCAGAAGCCCTAATTCTAACTCTTCTTTAAAGGAGATATATATGTATATACAACGTATATAAATATAAATTCTCAGATTAGGTGAATGTGTGATGAATTCTGCATAATAATAAGTATTATAGTGATTTCTAATACCTTAAAACCCGATCTGATGCCTGGTTTGATTTTGACACATCACAGTTCTGATGCTTCTCTTGAGCTTTAGCCAGTTTCTCTGCTGCAGCAATAGGACATCCAGAGAGGCTGCAATTACAGAAAGGAAATTTAATTGTCTTGTCCTGCGTAGTTTCACATTATAGCACTGATCCAATTACTCCTTCTCCTCCTTAGCCAGCATCAGGAAGAATCTGAAGGAAAAGAGTTTCCAAAAGCTTTTTGGTCATATGTATTTTCTCTAGAATAGACTTCCTTTCTTCTGCTTTCAAAGTTGCATGGTAGATCTTACATTGCTCTTCTTCTCTGACTGTACATGGGTAGATTATTGATGGATGTCAGCCAGTGAACATACCAGTAGGAGAGGAGAATATAAACTGGAATCTACGGTGCAGCTCTGCTAGCAGACTCGTGACCTTTATGCATCTACAAATGCAGCCAATGAAACGGCTCCTGAAGATGATTAAATGACAACACCATATAGGCCAAATCTTGCGCTGCTTCACACCTCATTCAGCTCCATTAACTCCAATCTTTTTCCTAGGCATATAAATGAGTGCAAAATTTGGCCTTGGGTCTCTAAATCTACATCTCAACTATATAATACTCGGTGTTTGTTCGTGAATTTCAGCCACTAAAGTATGTTTTCTAACAGTAGATGATGTAACATGAAAAGAACTTCTGCACTTGAATTGAAATTCAATTAAATTTGCAAATGCTGAACTATTATTGGAGTGACAGTAATAAGCCTGATTCTTCCAGAAAAGATTTAGAACAGGGAAAAATAAATATGTTGATGCCAGCAGATGGTGCTCTTAGTGAAGCTGTAAAAACCTGTGACCTGACAATGCAGGGGGTCCTTTCCTTGTCATAGTCTATTGCGTGCTTATGTGACCGCAGCTCCCTGTGTTCTCCACAGGAAAAGAAATTAAAATGAAAGGCAAATCAGTGCATTCCCAGATGTTCCCTTCTCTACAGGAAATAAGGGGGGGTGGGAAAAAAAAAATGGAATAAAAAAAGTGAAGCAGAGCAAAATGCCCCAAAAGCTGCAGAAAGAGGTGAGCACAGACTGCAGACTGCTCCCCCAGCCCTCCTTCCCTGCCCTAGTTCTGCAGAGGGGCTCGGGGGTTCGGTGCGGTTTTGGAGTCATGCCAGAGGGCAACTGCGCTCCGCTGACATGCTCTTCTTCAGACACCTCAAATATTCCAGCAGATACTCAACCAGAAGTGAATGCTGCTTCAACCAGCAGTAATTCCCATAAAGCCTGCTCAGAGGTTTTTGCTGCATCTACTGGCAGCATCACTGCAGAGAAGAAAGGGGTACCAGAGCTTATTGCAGATGGATTGGTACCCACAAGAGTCTTCTGGGAGACATGCAGGTAATACGAGGGGCTCTAGTAACCTAGAGCTTGATAAGACTGAATGTCCAGTACCTGTGTAGTCCCCTAAGCCTTCATGCTACAATTAACAGTAAAAAAAGAATTCAATAACAGGAACCTTGCATAGTTCCTTTTACTCTCTTACCCACATTTCCTGGATTTTTAAAAATTGTAAAGAAATAAGCAAGATCTTGTTGTTCTGTGGGAAAATTATGATATGTACTAGAAATTATAGTAACATTTTGATCATTTTGTTATTTGTTTGACAGAATTTAACAAGCAATGGCATCCCTTCCATAAGAATCTATTACTAATCTTAGGAAACTACAGAAAACTTGCTTTTTTTCCTGATCTTGTCTTGTTTGGCTAGAATATTTACATCTAACATTTGTGACTACTCTTTTTTAATTTATGAGACATTTTCATTACATTTCTTAAATAGTCAAAATTCTCATTCACTTTTAGCTGAATAAGGACTTTAGGGTTAGACTGTGGTCAATAGGAAAGCCAATTCTTATAATGTCTGTGTACTCAAAATGTCATTTCTCATGTATTAAAAAAAAAAATCATTTTTAGGCGTAGAGTACATTTTTTCATGCACTATAAAATAACCCCTGAAGAGAATGAAGTGTGAGAACAAGAACTCTGCCCTAGTCCTGATGATGTTGGCAGACTCTTCCTTCTCCCTCCAACAGACCTGTAAGGAGTCGTAGTATTTGTTTCGTACCATTGCTGTTCAGCTAATATCAAAACAAAAAGAAAAAAAATCCACCCAAAAAGCTAAGGATGCTTAAAATGTCTTCTGTGGATCAATTCATCCATACTGAAGCAAACGCGCACTCATCCTCCTCAGAAAATACATGAATAAATGTTACTCTTTAAAATGGATAAAGCACACGAAGCACCATCTGTCAATCTTCAGAACAAAACAACGAAACACACACTCACACCCCCCCACCAATGGACCGCTAGAAGGGCTGCAGTTCGGAGGCACTGTTCCCTCTAGATTGGCGTCCAGCGACGGCATCCTTACCTTCGATGGGAATTCCTGTTGCTATTTACGTGGCCCCGGCCTGTGCAGCCTGGTGTAGGACACTTAAGAACATTTTCATGCATGGCAAGAACTTGACAAGGAGAGTAAGAGAAAACAGCAGAGTATGAAAACAAGAAAAAAAAAATCAAATCCCAGTATATATGAAACCATTTTAAAACAAAGCAGGATTCATTAACAACCAGCATTCCTCAAAATACACGTGACACACATAGCCAATAAAGCCTGATGAGGGAAGTAAGTATTGTGACCCTATGCTCATTAACACAGGGCAACAGTGAAGGTCATGAAGGTTACAGAACCTATAATGCGTCTCTGGTGCAACAGTGAAGCAGAAGACTTCCAACATCTCCTTCATACAAAAACACTGAGCAAAGATCAGCTCAACAGTAAAGGGTGAGCCAGCAATGGTCCAATACAAAATTACGGACTAGAAAAATTGGTTCAGGAAATGTATGCATTCGTAATACATAGCTTTATACACACAGTATCAAACTGGAGAGCTGAAAATCTGCTCTCAAGTTATACTGGTAGAACACTGCATTATTTGAAACATACCTCAGTACAACCCTGAACAGAATTTAACCCTAACTGTAAGACAGCCCAATTGAGCTAGGGGCCAGTTCTGCCCACTTCCACATAGATATATCATTCATATCTACAGGACGAGCAGAATTGGTCCTTTAATTTTTCACTTGTATTCTCTACAGATGTGAAAATTGCAATGGATAGAAATTTTTTTCAAAAGACTAACAACTAAAAATAAGCACTTAAAAAGTTAAGGGATGGTGGAAAACAAAAGAAAACTGTGTAAAAAAGAAATAAGCGGTACAAGCTTAAGCAAGTAAACTGATTTACATCTGCATCCATTGCAAGCTGGATGGAAAATTTACTCCCAAGGCTGCTCAGAGCAGTACTCCTCTAAATCATAAAGCTCATGCTATGAAGTGCCAAATTATCAAGAACTTTTTGGTAACACGAAAGAGTTTTGTATGATGTGAGACATAGCTGAATCCATGTCTCGGAGCTGGATGGCAGCACATCACTCTACGGATAAAGGCCATCCAGCCCTTGCAAAGTTCTGTTTTTCTCATACAAGAAGTAGTCTGGAAGCCTGTATTTAGTTCTCACTCAAAAAAAGATCTAGTAAAATCAGTGAATTCCTTGACTGAGTTAAGAACTGAATAAAAGCTGTTCAGAGACTTGCAAATTTAACCACTTTTACTGATTAAAAGATAACCATCATCATCACCCCATCATCAGCGTGCTAAATTGTGTATAGATGCAAAAGCTTTACTCTGAAATTCCTACTATTCAAAGCTGTTCTTGAAACATGCTTCACAAGGCCAACATCACAGGAAAAAAATAAAAAGATGAGCTCACCTTTTTCATTTTAGTAGGTACAAGAGCATGCAAACAGTTTAAAGCTATATTCTTCTTTGATTTACAAAGTCTTCTAAAGAGCTTTTTATTTACCATTTGTAAAAATGAGAGAACTTTGAGCAACCGAATAAATACTTGTGTTTCAGAAAATTACAGGGTCTTGCAAAGCAGACTCTACTTGTTCTACTGTATTCAGAGACCAACCAAACTACAGCAAAGTTTCCTAAATCACTTCCTCATTACTTTACTTCTGGACGAAGCCACTCTACCATGAAAGAGGAGACTTTTTATGTCTCCCACTCTTAGTGTGCTAATCCACTTCCATTTTCCTGTCCTTCAGAATCTACTTTCCTTTGAAAACTGGGGACCACTTTAGCCCTGACTCTCTGTAAAACGTTTCCTTTAGGCTGTTGTAAATCCATTGAGGTTAGGTCTGTAAGTGCTGACGGACAGTGGGGATTTTAGGTCCATAGGCTTCAATGGAATAACTCCATTTTAAAATTGGTGTGAAAGAACTGGATCTTAGCTAGACGCTTGCCTGGTGTAAATCAGCACAGAGCAATTAGCTTCAAGAGAACTATGCCGGTTCCACCAGCCAAGGAGGTGGCCTCCAGAAATGGAGCCCTCTGCCTTCAGGTGAACGTCCGTGAGCTCATACGGGTGAACCTCCTTTGCAGAGAATCTGCTGACATGGCAGGAAGTTCCACCCATGTGACTGACAGGGGATGTTTGCTCAAAATCCTGAGTTGCGTAACTAAGTAAATAGCCAAATTGTTATTTTTAATAATAGGAACTATTTCAAGATAAACTATGTTTCAGACACAACAATGACAAAGGAGAGGGGTTGCAAGTTTTTCAAGTACAATTATTCCTGTACAAGACAACAGGGACAGTTGATGTGACATCAGCACGTAGAAGTAAAAGCAGTGCACATCTTCTGGAAACCTTTTTCTCTGTTGACTGAATACGTCTGTTTAAAAATAACAGGATTCTTAAAATCAAAGAATACAGCTTTAAAAGTTGTTCTTTTAGTGTAAAAGTTAGTAGAGAATGGAAATGATGGAATAAAGGAAAAAGTATAACACAGAACAGTTGACTAAGTTGAGACAAACCATACTGAAAAATGAAATTAATTTTTTAAATAAAAGGTTTAAAAAGCATGCTAGAAAAATCTTTGTAGTTTTATCCCCGGTTTCCATGAAACAATGTGAACTTACTTTCTGGAGGGACCCTATCTTTGTGTGGGCATCCTGACAAACTGCGGTGATGGGGGTAAAGCCCCGTTACATGGCCAGTTCCATCACACCCAGGGGTAGGACATTTGCTCTCTTTCTTTTCTGTTCTTGAGGGATCTATAATTTACAACAAATGTGTCAAGTGAATGATGCTTTTCACATTTCTGTAAGAAGGTTCATTTAATCATGTCATTTACTCTTTGGTAAATGTTCTTATGAAAACTAGAAGAAAAAAAAAACAAAAAACCCTTCTACTTCTTAACACAGTTCTGTCACTTTTATCCCGTTATCTTCTTTTCAGGCTGCAGGCTCCTATGATCACAGCAATATCCATTCACAGTGATTGGAAAGTGACCTTTTTATAGCAAAGCCGTACCACTGTCAATCAATGTTCTGCTGGCAAGCATCAGCTCAAGGGTGTAAGGTCATTTGGAAACTGTTTAGTTGGAGTTCCCCGTCTTTACATTCTTATTTGCCTGATGTATTAAGGTCTGCAAATGTACTGTCATAGCAGTTCAGTGTCCTGAGAGCAGCAAACCCAGCTCTTCAGCGTAACGATTCAACAATTCAGCACAAATAAATCCCTTTTCCAAGGCTCACTGAGGAGATGATCCTTGTTTTCTTTAAATTCCTTACCAAGTGGTAGAAATTATGTAAATATTCCTTTCTCTTCACTAAATTATGGCGGGGTAGACATTGTATTCAGAATTACTGAAAGTATCACTTGCTGTGTAAATTTGGGCCATTACAAACATGCATATATAATGCTTGAATATTCATATGCTTAAAAGGTTAATGATCTTTCAAAATGTTGTTGGATCTTCCGTCTACAAATCAATGAAAAGTCTAAATAGACATTTTTTTCAACAAAATAAAGTTTTCTGCAAATAATGTAGTGGAACTGCTGGTGAGATTAAACCTGAACTAGAACTTTCTCACATACTTCATCAACTTGTTTCCTGTAATGTAACATCTGTAAAATAATATCCCTACCCTTCCAGCCCAGCACATGATGCAAATTACATCTTACCATCTTGACCACAGTTGCCAGATTTTTGAGATTATTGCTGATTTTTGTATTAGTATTAAAGGAATAAAATTCAGGATACTCTGCTGCTACCATTTTGGCTCAAGATCAACCAAGTTCCCTCTTCCATTTTTTCAGTCCGTCCTCCTTTCAATACCCCGTCTGAGCTATGCTCACTTAATTATTTTATGCTGCTCTTGTCATCACTCTGCTTCCATATTTATGCTTTCATCTCTGGAAAACAGGATTTTGCTATCTGTTTTCCATTAAATCTTTCTTACATTAAATTCCACCCCAGCTTCAACAAATGCAACCCTCAGTACAATCAGTGGAAATTTCAGTACTTGTAGAACTTCACATACAACCCTTTTTTTTCAGTATGAATCAATACAATCCAGAGTTCACATTCAGTTGTGGACTTATTTTTCCTTGATTTCCCTCTGGTAGCTTTTATATACATGTATACACACACAAACTTTTACATTCCAAATTCTTCCAAAACACTTTCATTTTAGAGAAATTCTTTAGCTCATTGTAATGACTCTCCATGTCTTAAATCCATTCTTAAATTTTAATATGGTATTTAAACCTTGTCTTTTACAAATGGAATCCCTAATTATGAAAGTTTTATTTTACTGAACTTGCATGTTGACTGTAGAACAGAGTTCTTTGTTTCATGCTCTTTAACGATAAATACACATACAAATCTAGCTCCAAAGTGCTATACAGTTATCACAACACTCCTGGAAAGACCGTAACCTTATACATCAGGAAATTGAAGCAAAGAGATCACGAAGTTAAACCCAAGGCCACAGAAGGAGAAAACGTCAGAGGAGGGATTTGAATTCCTGCCAGATAGGCCTGTGCTGAGACCACTAGAACAGCAAGCCCACAGCTACATACATACACAACTCTGAACAACTCTTCGAGTCAAGTACTTTGGGATGTGTAAAAGTATTAGGTAAGTGAATAAGTAATGTAAATGAAATATAAATTATGTAAATATAACAATATTCAAGGACTGCAAAAAATGTAGATGATTAATAGACCATAATGGCTTTTCGGAGACTTTAAACTAGAGAAACTTTAGCTACTCTACATTGTCAGAACTCAACTGAAGTCAATGAAGATATTCTAATTTAGAGCACCTGAGGATGCGGACACTTACATCCGACAGTGTCGAGCAAATCCTTCTCTGTATTCAAGTCTATGCTATAAAGTTATAGCATGTATCAGATCCTTAAGAGCCTTTATGGTCTAATGAGTCAGAAAAGATGCTGTATACTATTCTTAATGATTTCAAAACTTGCATAAAATTGCACTTGCACAATTTCCCATTGCTTTTAATGGAAGACATTTCACTAAACTTTCCACAACTTCATACAAAACACTGGATACGCTTTTGTAAATCCTTTTCTGCTAATTGGGAGAAATATTGCATAGTTTTATTTAATTCTGTAACCTTTCCTCACTCCTTGCCACAATGGGAGTATTGCCTGAGTGAAGGTTGTCAGAGGACTCAAAAGGTTTTAAAATTCCTAAATTTCAAAAGAAAGCCTGTTTAGAAGGCTTTAAATGGCAGGGAAAAATTAGTTAGTGGTCCCTTAACAGTTGTTTCAGCGATCTCCGAAAGCAGAACTCCTGCGGCCAGGAGGTAGTTCTCACTGCAAATTTGTGTACCCAAAAAGTTTCCACTTAACCATATCATACATCTGCGTGGGTACCTCTTCCAGCAGTATTTGGAAGATAATGTGTGAGTGGAGAACAAATGATATAAGCAATTGTTTAACTTAAAGCTTCCTCTCTCAACAACTACCAGAATGTCTCACACGTTTTTTAAAGAAAGGAAGGAATAATTTTTTCTTTCTTCCTTTATTAAAAAAGCATAGAATGATCCACTCCACAAAGCTTCTTGGTCCAAATTACCACAATATTTAGTCCCTGGCTGGGGTTTGGACCTATTTTCAATTCAGTCTGCAGCTCCCAAGAGATAGGATGGTTCAAAGAAGCTCTAGAATTTACTGAAATAGGAATTCCATACTTTTGTTACTGTCAGAAATTATACAGTCTTTTCGGAGACAGCAGATTTATATGCATAAATGCTTTCCCAGGCATACATAGACTGAAAGGGCCGGAGAACACCACAGTTAAAAAGCTCTTCAAAAATTAATATTGGTTTGCCATGTTTTCTGTGGTTTTATTGGAGACATATATTCAAAGGGAAATGTACCTACAATAGGTCATATGCGAACGACATTTAGCACAACATCCACATGGCTATGCAGTAACACACTAACTAAATAAAGTTGTCTTCCCCAAATACCCAAAGTAACTACAGCACTCATTGGACCATATATTTGTGTTTAAAACAAACAAAACTTCACTAAAACACATTGCAGAAGAGTGTTTGACATCAGTGACTCCCATGCTTTTCTAAAAGACTAGTCATTACTTTTCTTTAAGGCTTGTTAAAAAAGATCTTGGACCAAGATGTTGTCTGCCTACCTGACTGTCACAGGCAGATATTAGGGTATTACTTTTTCAAAACAGGGATTTATAAAAAGGAGAAAAACGCCCACCATCTCAGTTGTAGAAAGGAAACCAAATATTTTTACAACAAATATAAGATGAACCCAGTCCCTGCTGAGCATCTCCCAAGAAATACCACGTCCTCAACTTCCACTAAAGTCAATGGGAATCAGGGGTGTTCAATGAGTCTCGGGAGGTATTGAACACTTTATACAACACGGCCCTACATGTACAGATGTAGACATGTTAAAGAGGGGTGTGGCAATATAAACACACCATCACCATAATAATCCCGTAAATTAAAAGGCATTCTAAAGGTAACCTTTAGTCTGTTGTTTTTTTCCTTTTTTTTTCCTTTTTTTTTCTTCACATTGAATTATGGTCAAGGCAGCACCTTAACTGTTTCCACAATGGAATGAAACCAGTGAAGTGGAATGCACATAAGAAAGAAATTGCTATTGATCTCAGCCCAGGCCACACCATGCCTTGCATAGCAAATGGTTTCCATTACCTTACTATCTTAAGATAATTAATGTGCAGTCACTGCCCCTATCTTATGTTATCGGTCATTCTGATACTGTTCAATTTCTATCAGGCAGTTCTACATTTTAGATGGGAGAGGCTTCATCAATAACTGTCATTTGATGATAATTTTATAAGTCATGATGCCACCTACCCAATCTAATCTGTAAAATATGCACTTCATAGCTGATTGACTACCTGCTACATAAAACCCCACTCTCCAATATAGTTTGCAACGTAATTCTCTTCATTGTTTTTTAATTATTACTATAAAATACAGTAAAAACTTGAGAAAAATCTTTGCCTCTTTCAACATGATCTCTTATTTGTTTTGTTTCCCTGAAAAGTTATTTTTGTAATTTAGCCAAATGATATTCACTGAAATACTGTACATATTTCTAACACTGCAGAATGAATTCTTGTATTTTATAATGGCAGCATGATGCTATTTTACAGTCATGTCATACTACTACAATGTAAATAAAGTTCCCATTGTGAGGAATTAATAACTTCATTTCAGAAATCTATGCAAAACTTCACACGTTAGCTCACACTTTCTCATGACATAACATACGGTATATAGAAATATTACCTTTACCATAATATGGCTTTTTGACATGGCCGTCACTGGGTTTAGGCTTCCTGTCATCTCCAGAAAGGTGTCTTGGAGACTGTTCCTCAAATGATCTCATATTATCCCTCCTTCCAGCTTCCACTGCCATTTTTTCTCTCATGGCTTTTGCTCTCTCAGTTTCCAAAGCAATTGCTTTCTCAAGCAGGGTTAAATTACCTTTTGTCATATCAAACACTTCTTCAGACCTATCTGAAGTAATAGAGGTGGTATCATCGTCTCTTTCATGACAACCATCCTCCTTTGCACAGCTAGAAAAAGTCCTAGATCTGGGGCTCAACTGTTCTTCAAGCCTCATTAGGTTCATCATATCAGAGTAATTCCGGTCTGGTGTTCTTCCTTGGAAGTCATCTTCTTGCCTGACATGCTGACGAGTGTTCATGTTTTGCTGTTGATTTCTTTCCTGTGGGTTTGTCTCACTGAGTTTCCTAGCCAGATCAAAACACTGGTTCCTTAAGCACTCCAAACTGCTGAGACACACCTCTTCATCACTCTCCTCCACCATTTTTTCTGTAAGTCCATTGTTCACAGGCTTCCCTAGCATTACAAAGTTCATATTCCTATTATCTTGCTGTGAAGTATTGTCTGCATAATTTCTGTCATTAATGTTTTCTGAAAGCACTACACCATGTCCTTGTGCTAATAATTTAAGGGAGTCCACTGTTTCCCTAACAACATCACTGTCTAAATCTAAACTCAGCTCACTTTTCCGACCAATATTTTCATTTTTGTCACTATCATCTTCCAGACTATTAGATGTATTGCTGTTCATTTCTGATTCTGTCCTGGCTCTGTATGCTGCATCCTCTGCAATTTTGCCAAGATTTAACAATGACTTGGCCACCAGTTCATCGTAATTATCATACTCATCATTATTGTTATCGTCTTTTTCTGTGTCTTGCATTATTCGAGTATTGTGACAATTCATTTGATGGTCTTCTGCATAAAAAACAGAAACAAAGAAAGAAACAAAGAAAGAAAGAAAAAGGAAAAGAAAAGAAAAAAGTGGCTACAATTGGAACTGTTGTTGCAATCGCATGGACAGAAAACAAACTGCATGTCAAATATTGTTAATCATACAGCAATTCTATAACACTAAGGCCCATGTGAAGTGAATTTCTCTATAGTTCATTGGCTATTTTTGTTTATTTGCTTTTCACATGAATTCTTTCACAGAAACGATAAGAAAAATGCAATCAAAATGCTAATTACTACTACTGCTAAATATTATGGCATAAATACTTATGTTTCTCCTTTCACTTCTATATTTACAGTTTTATGGGGTTTATTACAATCATATTAACTAATATGACATAATTGCCTACATTTCCAACTTTTCTCACTGCTATGTTTCCTGTAAATGTGGTAGATGGCAAAGGAGTGAGTACCACTGGATTTATTCTCTTACTGATGAACGTCATTCTCCAAAAGAGAAAGAATACACACCAAGCAGGAAATTGTCACTTTTTTTACACCATACACACCATTAACACTAGATAACCAATAACTGTATGCAAAGATCAAAATGGCATTTTACTTAGTGCATCCATCAGTAGAAATCAAAATCTCTCAGTTTAACTATGCAAACTGTGGAGAAGTAAGAATTTTAAAAGAGCTGTTACATGAAAGGAAGATAGAAGCAATTATATGCACAATATAATTTTAAGTAGATATGCTAGCCCAAATTATATGGTCATACATGTACGATAGGGCTGCTATCCACTGTCCTGTGTGTTGTAACATAATGGTGCAGTTACCACATCTTACTTAGCTGTGTTTTAGCAACTGTTGAATAATAGAGGGACAACTTACTAAGATGGAGCCAATGTGAGGCCCTGAGGGTGAGATTCATCTCACCTAACTTCAGACATGAGCAAGGCAGGCATCTATATCTCAGTAAGCCATTTGATGTTCCCGTCCTTAGTCAATAAGAGAAGCAGACACTTTAAGGATACAGGCCATCTGTCTGGTTAACATATCTTCTCGAGAATGAAATTAATAACTACTAGAAGTGCCTGCTTCTCTTCATTGACAACAAAGGGACTCAGACTAGATGCCTATCTTAAAGATATCCATATTTGGTCAGATGAATATCATCCAGAGAGCATTTTCTGATATCTCATGTTCACTCAGAAGTTATGTCATAGCCCCATTCTTAAAACACATATACATTCATCATTATTTACTAATGACCGTCTCATAAATCATATTCAAGCAGTATTTAAGTGTTTTGCATCGAAACTGGAAAAGAAAGTTCCTAAATCTGTCATTACATTGACATCCTAGACCAGTTTTTCAGCTGGTGCAAACTAAAAGAAACCAGTAGAGCTAGGACAATTAACACCTGCTCAAGAGCTAGTCCATCAACTTCTGATAGCATCTTTTCAGCTCAGATATATTTTCAACACTGGTGCACCTAAACAAGTAGCATTTTCTAAAGTGCGACCTGTATGTTTTGGGTTAAACAAACCAAAGTGGGAAATTTCAGGTAGTAGGTGGCTTGTACACTAACATTTTGATGATAGGAAAACATTTTTGATAAAAATAATTTTTATGTCAGTGGACAAGATAATAAATCAGAGTTTTAAACACAATGCTCAACAGCACAATAATTAATATTTCAGCCACAAGATAGTATTCCTTCTACACAGTGGTTAGGGATCCTGGGATGATAGTAGGCTGTAGTTAAGCAGCAGAACTGGTAGATGACTAGGCTACATCTAGGGAAAAAAATGCTCTAATGGTAAAATATTATATATTATCTACTTGAATATAGTGGGAAGATAATTCATAGGACAGATGTACGGTATTTTTACATGACAAGATATTCTAAGTCAATAATGGGTTACCTATTTATCATCAACAGTGGTGTTATTTTAGTTGCTGTTGTTCTCAAGATAATCATAATTCATATTTACATTTCAGTCCCTCAAAAATTAAGTATATGAGAGTATCAGATTTTCAATGTAAAAGTAAGGGATGCCACTTACACTTCCTATCTGAAAAATTTCCATCTTGAATGACTGCACAGAAGTAGGCAGCTAAGAATTACTGGATAATTAGTTTGTGGTATTTGAAAAGCAAATATTTTAATCATAATTTTCTAAAGTGAAAAGTACAAACAAATCCCACATTAATTAAAATATCAAGGATAAAACCTGATGCCAAGAAGATTGTTCCAGAGAAACTGCTGCTTTTGTGGGGTGCTTCTTGTAACTATGTCTGATGGGCAGTCAGATGTAGCAGAAGGAACATCAAAGTAATTAAAGAAGCAGTGAGCTATAGCTCCAAAATTGCCAGTGCTTTCAAGTTTAGGACGAGACATCTACAAACACTGGTGAAATCAGTCCAAATCTAGCTCTAATTGGATACTGAAATAAAGAGCAGGTAAAAAAATGTATTTTCTCAAGCCATCCAGAGAACTGTTCAGGTATGCAGTGACTATTCTAGGCTGACTTTTGAAATGTGAAAAGTTTCAGGGTTTGCTTTTTAAAAAAGGAGTTTTATGTTTGTTTTTAAAATGAATGAGAGTCATGTAAATGATCACCAATGGGAGGAATATGTTATACTTTGCCTCCACAACAGTGAAAAGTCAAAACATGAATCACGTACTGTGTGAGTGAAGACATGTAAATTCCTTTTGAGTAGGTGAAGCTGGGTGAAAGCTGTAACTATAATATTTTTTATTCTGTTTGTTTGGTTATATCCTTTTCAGTTCTCCTGCCCGTTCAACCCTAAAAAGAAGAAGAAAAAAAGGTGGTGGAGGAGAAGAAAGTGTAAAGCATGAATCCTGGATGAGAGGCAGGAAAACAAAATATTTTAATCAAGTTTCATTCCTCCTCTTTTAATTTTTCCCCTTTTCTTGCATCTACTCTCTTTAACAACTATTTTGCTCATGTTTCTTATCTCCATGCAGCAGTTAATTTTAATGAAAAGGGTATTTATGTATACTATGTCATCTCCTCAATAACCTTCTGTTGGATGCTGAGCCTGCTCTAGTGAAGCACCTGTGTCACCTGTTTATTAAACTGAAATTTTAAGTACTAAATTAGTTTGTGTATTAGTAAAGGGACTTCTGGAAAGTATGTTAGCCTAGCAGCTCCACGTGAACCTATGTGCCTTTTCTTTGATTCAGCTCTGTAAAATCTAATCTTGCTTTCATTTCACATTTCTACAATTACTAAGATTTAACCTTTAACTCAGTACCTACCTTTACGCTGTACTGTTTAATGGCTGTTTGTTAAATGACTGCAAAACATACCAGAGGACTAAAACACCTGCTCTACCCCTTACATATTTTTTGTAACCATTGACCCAAACGGCAGTTTTTTATTTGGTGAAGAGGCTGAGTTTGTCTCAAAAAGACACAAGTTAGCCGGTTTAGGTGAAGAGCGCACAAAGTTATCGTACCTCCTTTTTCTCTTAGCTTTAGGGTTGCACGGACAACGAATATGCAACACAGTTTAAAAACAGTATCAGATTATTTTAGCCCTCATCCACACAATACTACGACAATTCAGGTACTTTTGGTTGCAAAATTTGTTCTTTTAAACTCCCAACACACATAACAAATGACAGGAGGGAAATTATAGTGAAGAGTATGTGGAATAGCTATGAAGAGCTGGAAGCCTTTAGCCATCTCAACAGAAGTGCGCTCTTATATTGCACTAAAAAAAGCAAATAATTTGATTTCTTATTGCACTTTTTTTTGCCCCTCATCCAAGGATCTCAAAGCACTTTACAAACATTATTTTAAAAAGCCTCACAACACCCCTGTGAGGTAGGTATTTTAACCCCATTTTACAGATGGGAAATGGAGACACAGAGAAGTTGAGTGACTCTTTCCATGTCATACCAGGAGTCACTGGAGAACGACTACAGCCTCTACATCCTTGATTGTTTCCTCCCTTTGTTCCTATCACATCCATAATTAAACAATTTTTTGGCAGAAGAAATGGCTTGCTGTCTTTAGTGTAGGGAGTCATGCAAAACAGCACCTTCTTTTTGAAAAGGAAAATATACAGCATTTAGTTTGAGAGATTCTGCAGAGAGAGGCAATGATACTTCAGTAATAGCAGCTACATTCCTACCAAAGGCCAAAGACTTCAGACACAAGACTTTTCAAATTTGTGGTCCATGTATCAAATTACTCACTTTCTCCCAAGCACGGGAAATCATGATGGCTAACAAGCTGAACCTCTATGCGGTCATAAGGCTTCCTGCCCAGATGGATGGTTTCATTACCCAGGCAGCATTGCCCATTTTAAAACACTTCACTGCTCTTGCTACTGCCACTTGTGAATACCTAAGTGCTCAGTATATGGTACTACGGCATCACTGTTTTTCTCCCTCTAAGTTGTAAAGTGAGGTGCATGCATACAACTCCACATTACAATTTATGATAGCTAGCCGATGAGAGATACTTAGCATGACAACGTTGGCACAAACGAATTCCAAATCTTAGAAAGTTACAGCATTGTATGCAGCAAGGGGTTGTTTGTACATTGCTTTCTCCTCTGGGAAAATCTTACCAGTAAGGAAACTGAAGAAGTGGAAAACTCAGTGAGCTCTCAACTTCTCCACTCCACACGGAAGAAACAGAGCACACATGTAACTCTCTGAAGGGCCCAAGCAAGGTCTCTAAAAGTCTGAACACTCCTATTGACATGGGATTTGGATCAGAGCCCAAGCTTTTGAATATGCCTATTTCAGGGACGCACTGAACACTGAAGTTGACCACGTGCAATTCTTCCTTCATCTCTGCAAAAGTTCCTGAAGTTCTTTTACACTGTAAGTACCTTAGGTAAAGACCCAAGCAATTTGTTTTTACAGTAGTTGATTCTTTTATGGCCCTTATATTACCTAATGAAAGTCAAAAGAAAAGATAACTGCTCACTTATTTACTTGATGCATTCTAATTATTCCATTATATCTTTTTT